TCTTTTGGCATTTTTGAAGGAGACTTCAGTAAAGACTTTTGAGATATGTTTAGATATCAAATTGGTGTTTATTCTGAAAGTGACTTGGTTCTGGAAACTCCATGGTTACACTTTCTTTGTAGACAAAAGCCAAATCTTATGTTTTCTTGTGCAATGTCATTCTAGAACAGTCTTACAGTGTTGCCATAAGTCTTATTTGGTGTGAAGAGGGTTAAGCTGCTATCTATACACCTATGTGAGCAGGGCTGGACTACAGCATGTGGTGCCACGAACAGGCTAGTAATTGGCAGCTTCTTAATATATTTTTTTAATTTTTAATTTTAAAGATGTGAGGTACAATTGTTTATTATGCAGTGCCCTTGTTGATGAGGTGTACCCCCCTCCCCTGGCAGTTTCCCATACCTTCCTAATATCATTTCAGTGACATTAAGTGAGAAGAAACAATTTAATAAAAATTATATACTTTATTCTTATATTCAAAATGAGAGATTTATTAGATGTGGCATTTTTCTAAGCCAAGATAAAAGAGCAACAAAAACCCCCACAAATACTTAACTTTAAACTTTACATAACAAATAAGTTACTCTCTATAAGAAGCACTATATCATGCATTATTTGGGTACAGAGTTTTAGACACCTGTACCTGACAGCCCTAGGGAACTGTCAGTCGTTTGATCCTAGGACTGTTGGTGTGGCAAGTGCTAGCTCCTCAGAGACTCAGGGCTAGAGAGTACCCATCATGAGGAGCAGTGCCTGGGACACAGTGGGCCTCCAACAAATAGCTATTGCATGACTGGTTGAACAGACAGTGGCTAGGAGTTATCTGTAGGAAACATGAATTAATCAACACTATGTTTTCTCATCATTTCACTTGTTTTTGTTCCTGATAGACTAGTTTCTCAAATAGCTGCTCACCCTGAATCAGGCTCTGTCTTTGAGAACTCTTGGTGCACAGTGGAGTGCATACTAATCTTTCCTGAAAATGATTAGGCAGAGTAGTTATGCAAGCTACTGACTGCACAGTGTTCATTGCAATTCGCATGTGAGCATGAGGAAAGCAGCAGTCTTGACCCAGAGGGAAGAACTGTGCCAAGCAGCTCTCCTAAATGTAACTCAGTGAAATTTCCTCTACCATATGAATTTCCCACAATTTAAAACCAGAAGTGACTTGGTATAATAAGAAATGCATGTTTTTCTTAATTTCTTATAGAAACTGTGAAATTTTGGAAACCAACGAGCGAGATGCTGTCAAAGAACTAGGTGGGTAGTTGGAGTATCTGATTTCCTATAATCAAACTCTATTATCCTGTAATTTAACAAAGGAAGACAGGTTCATGCTTTCATTCACTTGCTCATCCATTTGTGAACTCAACAAACATCTACCGAACCCAGCTAACTGGCCGAGTATAGGAAAGCAAAAATAAGTCGACCCTTAAACAGTGCAGGGTCTGGTGCAGTGTATGGCCACATCAGTAGATGACTGCAGAAAGTCAGAGGAGTCCTGTTTGTTGCTATGGGAGTGTAACAGAAAGAAGGGAGGAGTGCAGAGTGTATCAAGGTGGCACGATCAGAGTCCCTGTGGCTAGAGGAGAAGACATATGAAGTTCACCTTTGACAAAAGGCTGTTTGGTTTGGTTTTTCTTTTGTGAGGATGTCATTCTTGAGCATCTACAGCCACTCTACTTTACTTGAAGTACACAGACAGACAGCGAGAGTTTTCTGCCGAGCTTTTGGGGTCTGCTTTCCTCACACAGGACTGTGGACCAGGCTCTCAGTGTGTGGCATGTGCCCTTAATAAATGGAAAAGAAACAAAGCAAAACCACTTTTTGTTCCTGACTATGTCGTAAGACACCATATGGGTTTATGGGGATCATGCTTTCAAAATCAGAGTGGAAGGAATGCAGTCTAATAGATGAAAGTGTGAGTTTGGAGACAAGAGGGCAGGACATTTTGGCACTGTTTCAGAAAAACAGGACTCCTTGTTGCCATTTACATATTGGCAGGTTTTTATTTCTGTGCTTTTAAAAATTGGAGGCCTAGATAGGTATGGAACATCACAAAATGTTCTAGATCGGTCCTGTGGAGGGGAGTGCCTGTTCCCATGGGGCTGCTGCAGTCGACTGCTGAATGTGGAGCATGGCAGGAGCGGTTAGCTGTCTTCTGTGTGCTGTCTCAACCCTTGTAATTATTCTGTGAGGCACTTGCCTGAGGCTAGTAAGTGGTAAGTCAGATCTCTAGCCCGGGTATATCTGACACCAAGACCTTTCACTTTACGGTCAGCTCGTTTCACTGAAAAATGCCAATCTTCCGTAGGCAAGGCACTGTGCTCAATGTTAGCATTGTGAAGATGAAACACACAGTTGTAACCCTGCCTCACAGAACAGTCCTTGACTTCTCATATTTATTAAAGTGGAAAGAGTAGGAGACTCGATCCCAGAAAGGATCGGCAGCCAAAGGCCAGGGGCTCATTTATGCTTTCATTCAGTCATCTACTCATCCAAGCAACCAAAATTACATAATCTGGAGGATGAGACGGATGGCAAAAGCAGCAGTGCCACACTACGATGCCTGATAGAGGGATGAGGGAGAGAGGCCCGGGAAGGAGGCAGAGAGAGCGATTTTCTCCGAGCTGCCAGGGAAAGCACGATGAAAACAACTCCAGTCTTGCTGGTCCCACGAGTTCTGTGTGGACCGAGAACAAAAGGATATTGTGGAAATACTTTGGAAATTATAAACGATTCTACAAATACTAGTTACTGTGGTCATTGCATAGGTTGCTTACTGAATCTTATTTGCTTTAGGATGCTTAGAGCGTGAGGTTCGTGATGTTGTCATTGCTTTGAAGACTAAGCAGGCCATCCGGACTGTGATTACCAAAGCTCTGGAAAACCTCACCTTCCTTTCGTCAAGAGGGCTTATTGATGAAGATGGGTGCACTGAAATGAATAAGGTAATAAAATAACTTTGCAATTTGCTCACTTCCATCAGCCCAACATCCCAGCCTGCAGTTACACTCCAGCAGAGTGTAATGAAGAGGGCTAGCTTGGAAACAGGTGTTTCAGCACAGGTGTTAACTCTGTAATTGCCTGCCGCCCTTGACAATGTCAGTGGCAGCCAATGCCAGCGCTCCCTGGTGTGCTTCGTTAGTCAGAACTACTCGGTTGCAAGTAACGGAAACCAACTTGAACTAAGTTTAGTAAAGAAATGGTTAGGGGATTTAGTAAAAGGACACATATTTTACAGAGCTCACAACTGTCAGGCCATGTGGCCGGGCCTCAGGAAAGGCCCTGAACAAGGACCTAGAAAACTTTCCAGATTTTCCATTTCCTGCCAGGGTTACCCTCCATGGCATCTTCCTTTGACTCCCTCTGTAGGTTGACTAAATGTTTCTGCTTCCGCATTCACTGGTGAAATATACTGCCCAGTCCCACTGACTGTCAAAAGAGACGAGAATCACAAAATATTAACGTGATGGAGAGGGGATCAACTGATGTGTGTATGTGTTGGTGGGTTCAGAGAGGAGGCCGTCCTGAGAGAAGAGGATAGTCAGTTCGCTCATAAATGAGCTTTTGAAAATTTATAAATGCATCTGCAAAAAAAAATGAGGGACAAAAGACAGAGGGGGGAAGCCATGTTTAGCCCCTACCACTCTATTATGTCTACCATCTAGTCTGTATTTGCACAAAATAAGAGTGTTCTTTCTACTCCCAAGTATGGATTTGCTTCTTAGCACCCATTCTGTCTGTGTTGCCCACGGAGAACACTGTTCCTGGGTGGAGCGTCTTCTCCCCGCCACTGGCAGGTCCCGGCACTGACCCCCATGCCCTGTGCTTCCACTTATTCCCCCACATAGGCCCCTCTCCGTGGCCCCAGGAGGGAAATCTGGAACACGATTCCGCCTTAATGTCTGTCTGAGGGAAGAAAAGAGTGACTTTAGTAATATATTTGTTACAGTAATCTTCAAGTTCTACCTCTACAAATGTATTTTGTATTCTATTCTTTTCATTTATTACTTTGAATGCTGTATAAGACAATTGAATGTTTGATGCTCATTAATTAAGCCTGAGGAGAAAGACTTATTTTTTCCAATGGGTTTTTTAGAAAGGTAATGGATAAATCAAATTATTCAACAGTTACTTATCGGATACCTACTAACTGCCTAACTGTCAGCAAAAGAGATATCATTGCCTATCCCAGGTCATAAGGAGGTAGAAAAATCAATTCAATTTAAATATATGTTGAATGCCTATTTAGTACCCTGGACTCTTGAGAAAGTCTATGAGCACTTCCTTGTTCTATTCTTTAGTCATTTACCCACCTAACCAACAAAAGTTACATAATCATGGAGGGTGAGGCATATAAGTAAAAATAATACTAGAATGAGGTCCATAGTGGAGATACATAGGCAATGTCATGGGAATAAGGGAGATAAGGGATTTTCTCTTACCTCGTGAGAAGCAGATTACACACATGAAAAAATGTGAGAGAATATATACTCACCAACTCTGAAGTTTAGAAAATTTGATATTAAGATGAAGTGGGATCCAGTGTTAAGGGGACTATGAAGACAATGGGTTCAACTAAATAAATCACTGAAAGAACTTTTGGGAGAGAATAGGGACCAAAAAAGGTGAGAGGAATTTAAACAGGGTGAGAGAAGCTGTGAGTCAAAATCAAGATTAAATTTGCTTAACAGCAGTTTATTAAGATTTCCTTAGTTTTTGCCTAGTGTCCGTTTTCTGTAACAGGATCTGATCACCATTATTTTGATTGTTTGGTTTTAGGTACTTCTTACAAAATTAAAAGCACTGAATAACTTTCCAAAGGCAATCCCACCCCCCACTCCTGATAAATGCCTCCATAACTTCATTTGGCTGGAAAATAAAGATGTTTTCATTGACTTCTTTAAGGTAAAGCTTCTGTCTTCTGTTATGCCTTAGGTTTAATGATAATTATTATCCATTTTTTCCCACTCCCTAATGCAATCTGAACAGAAAAGCATGTCCAAACACGAATCCTGTACTGGCCAATTCGCATAAGCCAAAATGGTGGCCCAGTAAAGCCCAGTGGAATAACTGATTTCTCTCTGAGCCTAAAGGGCAAAGGCAGTTCTTTACCACGACTTATCTGCTTAGGATGAGCTATCTGTGTTTCCTGATTATTGCCAATTGCATTCCACTTTAAGTTGTCAAGTTCTGGGCTTCTAGATGCACACTCTGGAAGAGCCACTTTTTAAAGCAAGAGTCTCAAATTTGAATTATAGTTCAGGTCAGTCAGAAACCAGCTGGGTGTAGAATAAATGGGAACAGTGAGAACTGTGGTGCCTTCAAACATTCATGCTGTGTACAGTCAACTGAGTGTTGTATAGAAATGTGGACTCTGAACACATACCCATTGAATGTCCTGTATGCACCAGAGACTGTTCTAAGTTCTAGGACACGGCAGTGAACAAAACAGATGAAGTCCCTGCTTTCACAAAGCTTTTATTTTACAAATGGAGATGGACAATAAACACAGCAAATACATGAGTATCTAGTCTATCACACGTTGATAAGCGCTACAGGGGAATAGAAGGTGAGGCGAGGGCAAGTGAAGCCGTCAGGGAAGGCTGCGCCAGTGCGCTGAAGTCTGAGCAAGGTCTGATAAGCGAGGCACATGCCTGTGGATGTCTGGGAGAAGAGCGCACCAGGCAAAGGGGCGGCAAGGACAGGGCCCCGAGGTGCAGCGTGCTGGCAGTGAGCTGCACAGAGGACCCCGGGCAGGAGCTGAGATGCTGGGGCACTCGCGTCCTGGCAGTTGCCTGGTGAACACCACAGCTCTTGGGGCCCTTGGCTTCTTCCTTCACAAAACGCATGACGGGATTACGCTTTATGGCTGTGTTCGTATTAAGATGAATATATTAGTGTCATATACTAGAATATTTGTACCCAAAAGGTTTTTGTGTGCCCCTTTCTGATTTTAAAAGACAAAAACATATGAAAAAATGCTCAACATCACTAATCATCAGAGAAATGCAAATTAAAACCACAATGAGATATCACCTCACACAGAATAGCTATTATTAGCAAGTCAAAGAACAACAGACGTTGGCACAGTTGTGGAAAAGAGGGAACGCTCATTAATTCACTGTTGGTGGGATTGTAAACTAGTTCAACCTCTATGGAAAAGAACTAAAAATTGAAATACTATTTGACCCAGCAATCCCACTACTAAAGATCTACCCAAAAGAAACTGAAATATCAAAAAGATACCTGGGCTGGGCTTGTGGCTCAGCCTGTAGTCCTAGCACTTTGGGAGGCCGAGGTGAGTGGATGGCCTGAGCCTACTGGTTCGAGACCCCCCCGGGAAACTTGGCGAGACCTGGTCTCTACAATAAATCAAAAACTAGCCGGGTGTGGTGATGCGTGCCTGTAGTTCCGGCTACTTGGAAGGCTGAGGCGGAAGGTTCTCCAGAGCCCAGCAGGTCAAGGCTGCGGTGGCTGGGAGTGTGCCACCACACTCCAATCTGGGCTACAGACTGAGACTCCAACTCAAAAAAAAAAAAGATACCAGTACTTGTATGTTCATTGCAGTATTCGCAACAGCAAAATCATGGAATCAACCTAACTGCCCACCAACAATTGACTGGACTAAAAAATGTGATATGTATATACACCATGGACTACTACACGGCCATAAAAAAAGAATGAAATAATGTTCTTTGCAGCAACATGGATAGAGCTGCGGTCATCATTCTAAGTGAGCGGACTCAGTAACAGAAAACCAAAAACTGCATGTTCTCACATGCAGAGCTAAGTGGCCACAAAGATGGAAATAGTAGACGCTGGGGATACCAATAAGGGGGAGGTGGAAAGGGGGGCTAGCGTTCAGAAATTGCCTGTTGGCTACAGTGCTCACTGTCTGGGGAATGGCCTCCCTAAGACCCAATCCCCACCGTTACCCAATCTGTCCATGTAAGGAACACACATGTGTCTCCTCTGAAGCTAGAAAAGGGGGAAAAGCACACACACACGAACATTGCTGTGAGTGTCTAACAGCGTCGGGAGCCTGGGCACGGTGCCTGCTGGTGCCTAATGGACCACGCAGGCCTGGCCTCCAGCCCTCCCTGCCTGAGACGCGTTGAATCTTTGCAGTTGCCCCAATGGCACATATTGTTTGCCTCTGGGTCTTTGCAGATACTGAGTCTTCTGCCTGAATGGTCTTTAGCTCATTTTACCCTGATTAACTGGTACTCTTCTTCCACATCTCAGCTTAGCTGTCCCTTGGTCTGTAAAGGCTTCCTGAACAACCAGGAAGGGCCCTGTGGCCTTTCTGCATTTTCCGTAGTATCCTGTCCCTTTCTCCTTTGTCCTAATCATGCCACTTTGTTGTAAATATCTACCTGACATACCTAAACGTTCTTCTGAAGGCAGGGAATTTGTTTAGTTTGTCGTTATAACCCAAGCCCCAAACGGGCTAAAAAAAGGTTTTCATTCATTCATGCACTTCTTCATTCCATAAGCATTTACTGGGTGCTTATATCAGTTGTTATGGTAGTTACTGACCACAGTTTGTTTGCTTGTCCCTTTATTTCTAAAAGTTGATAGAAACATGTCAGCACTTTACAATTCATTAAGAAACCAAGAATATAGTGTGTGCTTTTACACTTCTTGGAAGTCACTTTTAGCTTTAAATTTTTATATATATTTAGAAAAGTAGACTATGAAGCTTTTATATCAATTCTTCTTTCCCTCTCCCCCATTCAGGAAAGAGCTGAAATCGTCTATTTTGACTATAGAGATGTCATTTGTAAAGAAGGTGACATGCCACGAGGAATCTACTTAATTGTTTCAGGAATGGCAATTGTAAGGGACTATTGATTTTTTACTTAAAATGCATTTTGAAATATGTAATTGTAAAGTAAGAAGAAATTTAGAAGTCAAAAAAGCTTAAAATTTTAACACAATTAAACCATTTCTGCTCAGCTGAGAGATAATGCTAATACTGGACACCTGAGATATGTTTCCCATTTTACAAGAGCTGTCATAGTCATTGCTTATTCCTCAAGACAATCCTGGAAGAAGCAATTTTTTTCAGTATGTTCAGATAAGGAAATCAATACTTGGAGGGATTTTAAATTACTTACCTAGAGGCCATGAGAATTAAAAAATGAGGGAATGACTTACAAAGTCAAATCTTCACAGAGGTCAAGTAGGATGAGGGTCAAAAATACAATTTTTTATCTGGGAGATTTTTGTTGATGAGAGAGAGAGAGAGAGAAATATTTCAACAGTGTGATGGTGACAAAAATCTTTCGTGTTTGCATCATAGTAGTTTAGCAGCTGAACTTATGGGTGAGCCCCAGTTTATGAGTCAAGTAATTCCTAGATGCTAGTTACAAAGTGACAAACCCTTATGCATTTGTCCATGTTATGTTGCTGTAAAGGAATCCCTGAGACTGGGTAATTTATTTTTTAGAAAGGGTTATTTGGGCTCAGGGTTCTGTGCTTGCATCTGATTCTGGTAAGGGCTCAGAAAGCTACAGTCATGGTGGAAGGAGAAGGGGAGCCAGTGCGACATGTGGTGAGAGGAAGGAAGAGAGGGAAGGAGGTGTCAGGCCCTTCAGACAGCCAGCTCTCAGGTGAACTAATAGAGTGAGAACTCACTCAATACGATGAGAATGACACAGAGCCACTCATAAGGGATCTGTCTTCCACTTTCATAAGGGATCTTCTACCATGACCCAAACACCTCCCACTAGGCTTTACCTCCAACACTGGAGGTCATGTTTCAACACGAGATGTGGAGGAGACAGACATCCAAACTGTATCATTTTATTATAGGGAAAATAATATATTTGGTACTTGGCTTTCTGGTTTTAAAATGGGTATATCAAATCTTAAAAATACCATGGAAATGAACTACTATAATAAATAGAATACTGGCATAAAATAACACGTATTAACTATCTGGCTCTATTCTACACATTCATTCATTCATTCATTCACTCATTGCACAAATACTATTTACTTCATTACTATCATGTGGCAGACTCTGTTCATTCTTGGCGTGGGATTGACAAAACAGTCAAAAATCCCTGCCTTTTTGGAATTTATTTTATAGTGGAAGGATAGAAAAAGATAGGACAATGAACAAAACAAATAAGCTAAATATAGAATATGTTAGAGGTTACAGAGCTATGAAGAGGTTAGTTGTCATTTTTAAACGGATATTGGAAAAGGCAATATGTGGTGATTTGTAATCCTTATAACATGAGAATCCATGTAAATAATCCTTTTTACTTGAGAAAACTGAGGCACAGAGAAATTAATTCACTTGGCCCCAACTACACATATTAGGAGACCAAAAAGGACCTTGAACCCATATAGTCTGCCTCCAGTATCCGTGTACTTAGCCGTTATACCACACTTGTCAT